GAGCTGCAGGCAGAGGCACGAGGGCCGGGGGCTGGCGGTGACACGGCGCCACGGGCTCCTCAGGAAGCGCCAACGCTTCAGGGGGTCACGCAACGAACGTCCCGCCCTCCTCCTTGGCCCCCATCCAAAATGGGTGCTGCGCCAGCGCGTGGGGCCGCTCTGTCCGCACGGTCCTCCGTACTCTATGGCGGCTCGCGCACGGCACCTCACGCATGTCAGATGAGAGAGGAGTGAGCATGCGCAGCGAGTTTTCCTTCACTTCCTCTGGTGGCCGCTCCTGCTTCCGGCCCCCCACTTCCCTGGTAACAATGGAGCAGAAAATGGCCGCCTGAGAGGGGGAGGGAGACAGACGAAGCAGGGCGAGCTAGGGCCGAGCCCGCTCAGCACCGGGGGAAGCAACGGACCGAGACCCGGCAAGGAGGGAGCCTGGAGGCGGCGGGTGAGTTCCGGGCTGGACGCAGACTTTCAAAATGGCCTAAGGAGGGGAGAGGCCCAGGGGAGGCGGCGGTAGCTCTGGTTGCCGGCCGCGGGAGCGGGGGGCTGTGTCACCCTTTGGAGCTGGGCCCTGGCGCTCAGACGGTGGGTGGGGATTCCCGCTCCTGGGGCAGGGAGGGGCGCAGGCTCTCTTGGCCTTCCCGTCTCCACTGAGGTGACCCCTTGGTCTTCTCTGCTGTACGTAGAGCGCTGGTCCTACAAGGCAGCAGGGGAGCTTCAGTTCCTGCCCTATCCCCTCGAGCAGGGGAGGACCGACACCTCAGGCCCTTTCCCAGGTCTGAGCCCAGAAGCGGACCCCTTCCGCCGTTTGGGACCAGACCAAGCACTGTCTCGTGGGGTGCGAAACTTCTCTCTCTGCTTTACCAAGCTGGATTTGAAACTTAGGCTTTGGGTTTGGAGGAAAACTAGGGATTCTATCTCTTGTCTAGTGTCTCCTTTAAGGATGTCTAGCTTCTCAGGCCAAGCCTTCATTTTATCCTCCTCACAATAGGGGCAAGGTGCCATATCGTGATGAGAGAGGTGGAGAGGTTCTCCATATCACTCCCTATGAGGGCCTCTTAAGATTTCTAAGTCTTCAGATTGTTTATAGTTTTGTGATTTTCTGCCTTTAACAAACAAAGAAGTCTGTCTAGTGTTGAATAGATACGTTTTCAAATTGAAGTTGTATGCAAATAATCAGGTGGACTGCACTAAACCTAAGACTTGCTTCCCATTGGCTATATTGTCTAATTTAAGGTTGGCGATGATTATGAAATAGTAAAGTTCTAATGTCCATCTTGTAAGCATCTCAGGCAAAATAAGTTGAATAGGTAATGTTGAAAATCAAACAGGAGCTCCTTCCTTTCGTAGATGAAGTTAAAATGTCTTCTCCTGGACTTGGGTTGGATTTGTTATGGTGGTAGCTCAGTATTATGTTCAGCATAAGTTAACCATTTTGGAATGGTTAATCATCATTTGGCAAGTTAAGGAATCAGAAATGTTGGTCTAATTGCACATCAGAAGAAGAAACAACATAGTTTATTAAATAGGATACAAAGGAAATAATTACTGCATTCTTCCCCTTTCATCACCCAATTAGCAATACCTAGCATGTTTGTGCTTCTGACTTTTAATGTCACATAATTAATCACAGCTATTTTTATATAAGGTGATGTGACCATCAAACAATTAGCAGGTGCTTTGCCTGGATAATAAATATGTTGTCCAGTCCGTATTAACTACCCCACAGAGATGTTATCCTGTACAGTTAAAGGAAGAGAGTTTTGACTATTTCAGAACTCTTCTTTCCACCAAAATTAGAACAGCCGGCAGCCTAGTTTTCATACTTTTTTTTGCATTCATCTATATGGTTAAGGCCATTACTTTTTTTTTTTTTTTTAAACCAAAATATTTATACTTGTGTTGCCCTGAAGTGGTCACAGTTATTATCTACTGTATATTTTAGAGTGTTTGTTTGATCAAGAACTCCTCCTAAATGGCAAGAGCTAGCTAGCACCACCACATTTGGCATACAGCGTCCTCTTATCATAAATTTAAAGCATTGTACAGGTTTGATTGTGTCAGGAAAACAGGATGTACCTGAAATGGGATTGCTTCTCTCAAAGCCAAATAGAAATGAGACAGAATCACCAAATCAAGTACAGTCCTCAAAATTGACATGACATAGAGTGAATGTTGAAAGACACTGAACCAAGATGAGCCAGAAAAATAGGCTGAACCTGGAATGGGATTGCTTCTCAATAAACCTTACAGCAGGCATGTCCAAAGTCCGGCCCGTGGGCCAATTGCGGCCCGTGTTCCGGTTTAATATGGCCCCACAGGTAATTTGGCAATATCTATCTTTTATGGCCCCCAACGAATCCAAATGTATTGAGATGAATACATTGTAAAATCTCAGTTAATGTCAGTTGGTCTAAATCAGTTATAAATATATTTGGACACAACATATATACTTGGTGTTATGTTCCTGTTCATATTTTTTTAACTTAAAAGTTGACAGACAACCTTTATTACCAATAATATGTAATGTACTTTACAATGTTCCTGACATATATTTCAGCTTCCTGGATTTTTTTTTTCATCTGGCCTTCAGATATGAAAGGCAGAGTGATTTAACACCTGTTTAGATTTGTCATCCATGTGACAAAATGAAAAGTATGCTGTTTGCAATAAACTTTGCATAAAATAGTTAATTTGCATTTAATTTTAATGGTTCAAAGAATGTCAGGCAAAATGGTCGGCCCTCACGCATGTTCACTTCATCAAATCTGGCCCTCTTTGAAAAAAATTTGGACCCCCCTGCCTTACAGAAAAGAGATAAAATGGAGAAATTTGGAGTGGTGCTGTTTTGTCACAGCTAAATCAATGCTTAAGATTTGCAAACCAGGAGAAAATGTTTTTGGAAACCAAATTGACTATAGTTCTTTCTTAAGACATTGTGAATGATAAATTTATAGGGATGAAGAAACAAAATACACTTGATAGAATTCTGAAATTATGGACCCAAGTAATGCCAGGTAAATCTGGTAGTACTGATATAAAGATGTGTAATTTATTCCCCTTTCCTTGTGGGAAATAGTTATATGAATATGGATTTCATTATACTGGTAAACTGTTCACACGAGAAGTAGGAAGCATATTGTACCACTTTATAAAGTTAAAATAGTACAGTTCTTGTGTATAGACAAGCTCTTAATGTGTTTCAAGCTAAGATTTTAAGGTGTGTGTTAGATTCTTAGTAAAACTTTCTAATAAATCTATTGGAGATACAGTGCGTGCTAAACTGGTTTAATTGAAACCCAACCAGATTAACTGATCACTTACCAGCTGCATAGTCTAAACTAAACTCTTAGAATATGTTAATTAACAAGTTCTCAAATTCTCCTCAAAGTTACAGTTTTAAGAGGGGTAGGAGCTTGTAAAAATCTTAACAAGTTAAAGTGTTGGAAGGATAAAATATAACACATCTATAACCTTTTCATCATCAGGATCTTTTATTTTTAATTTTTTATATATTCTTATTGCATAGTCTGTAACTTTAAAAAATGTGAAAGTATTAAACTTCAGCGCAAGGACACATCCTTCCGTGAGTATTTAAATGTAACTTTGGAGTGTCACATTTCCATGTGCTTTTCTCTTAAAAATGTATGAGACACTTGACTGTGCTTAAAATATAAATGTGTATAAGATTGCAATTTTATCTTCTTGTTCTGGTTTGTCAGCAGACACCAATTGGTATTTCTTGTTTGATCTGAACTGTTGATATTTAACTCTTTCCTTCAGTGAGAACTGCAAAGCTGAGCAGCGTCATTGCTAAGAAATCAAGTGGCAACACTTGATTAGGTAAGCTACACTAATGTGCATTTACATTATACTTTTAAAGTTAATAACTTTTTTAAAAATTCCAACAAGAACTGCCTTTTTTACATGCAAAGCACATCTATATCCATAATCTCATAAAGAAAAGTTCATGTAGATTATTTCTTGGTTTGTCATCAAAATCAGATGAGATTGTAGTTTTACATACAGCTGTGTTTTGTATTTAAACATATATAAATGTTATTAAATAAGGTACTCTTTATTTAAAAAATGAAAAAAGATCTTATTTTGGGGCATATTTAATGAATTAAACAGCAACCAGTATAGGCTGATACTATAATACTCGTTTGTTGGGTTGCAGTTTATAGTGACTGTCAGCATAGCATTGGCCTCCAGTAGAATCTGTAATAGCAACAATTTTGCGGATAAAGTGGTGTTAAAAGAAGAGTTGAAGTTACATGTTTTTTGCATTAAAATTCTACAGGTTATGTTTGATTTAGAGCTTCCATTAACCGGAGGTCCTGTTTCTGCTGAAACTTGAGGACTACTCGACGGTCTTCAGTTTTGCGGGTCTGGCTCCACAGGATGCTACCCTACTTTTGCTGCTCTCCCTTTCAGTGACGACACTGCTGCTGACATACCACAGTGCTGCTTCCTTCTAACTTCAGAGTGGGCGTTTTGCTTGCTGACCTTACAGGATGCTCATTTTTAGAGCAAGAGAGCACCATTTTCATGAGACTCCTCTTCCAGTGCTGGAAGCTTGTGATACCTCATGTCCAATAGGTCTTCTCTTCTGTGGTATAATCTAAAGACCAAACACAACATATTGTCTTTATTTTCATTTTCAACATGTCTTTGTGACAAATGCTATTTTAATAAGGAAAAAACACTTTGAGCCCTCTCAGTTGACAATGGAGTTCAAAGAATGAAATATTTTATTGGATGCGTGAATGTATTGACTTCTGCGATATACCTATGATTAAAATGATATTCTGCTTATTATGGCTGCTTCTTGCTAGAGCTTGGGGAACATCTTTATTCCTTTATTAAAATAGCATTTTTGACAAATACGTTGTAAAAAGACAAAATGCTTTTTCTGTTCTTTGGCAAGTTGACTTTTTTCCAACTTAATTTTTTTATTTTTCGAGTCGGAGAGTATACATGTGAAATTTGAGTGGTGTAATGTTTGGGGTAAGTTCTTAAGTATCTATCCATCACTTTTAATTTACAGATGGATATGTTAAGAGCTCTCCATATGTGTTTTGTTTTACCTTAGACTGCACATTCATATATTAATTTTATTAGAATTAATAGCAACAAGCAAAGAATAAGCCCAATATGCAAAGCAGACTTTCAGAATTTTGAAAACTCAATCCCCTATTGCCTCAATGCTGTAGATATTCAGACTGTATTGAAGCTCTGATCCTGCAGCAACAGGCATACAGACGCCTCTACGGCTGTGTGGAAAACCCATTGTCTTCAAAGGGGTTACATGTAGACATGGTGGTCCATCTGAGTGTATCTTGTAGTAAGATTGAGGTGCAAATCTCAGTGAGCCTTTTCTCTCACATGCTTGTGTTTTTAAAGTTGTTGGGAATTGAGTTCACCAAATCATCATATTCTACTATGTGTTTTTTGAGAGCAAGAATTCACAGGGTACAACAAGCGATGAAACTTCAAGGTTGAAAACTCATGAAATGTGTGTTTTCTTAATCTAATACGATTATTTATTTATACAATACATGGTATTTGATTGACTTGGGTACATTACAATTGTTTTTACTAGTTTTTCTCTTGTGCATCTTAGAAGAGCACAGATTGTTCAAGTTTTTTTTGAAGCCTAATAATTTATTTGATTTTCACAGCATGTTAAGGGGAACTTTAAAATGACTCGGATTTTGCAAGGTTTTTTTGTACCTTGAGAGAAATGGGGTTCAAGATGTTTTGATACCTAATTTTAATTTCTCTCAATCTGATTTATTTGTTGCTAGAGAGCTTTTCTGGACAGGATTCAGGGGAAGAAATTTCACTGTGAAAGAGAGTTAATAGTCCTATTAAGGATTTAGGTGATCTTTGAAGTGTGTGTGTGTGTGTGTGTGTGTATTTCAGGTTGACATCTGAGTTTTGTTTTGTACATTTTTTATTGAAGTTTCCCCTCAATAAGGACAACTCTGATTTATGCATTGGTGCAAAAATTTGCCTCTGATTATCATAAAGGGTGACTAGGTCCTGAGGGATAGAAGTGGATCAGTTGATAATACCCAATTAAGGTGTAGTAGGTAATCACTAGTTAGAAATTAGTCCTGTGTTGGGCACAATTGTAAACCTGTTTCCACCTATTAACCTTCCCTTTTGTGTATTCAAAATTATAACTTAAATTGTTGGAAGCAGAGTCAGATATCTGCATATTCTGAGTCTAATTTTCTAGAAAATATCTGTATATGCCAAATGAAATTATATCACTCTTAAATATTAAAATCCATATATTTTCATCAGCAGGGCTCACCAATAAGGGCAGTTTTAGCCCGGCACGGCACGGCGCCACGATCTGCACATGCGCAGCACACCAAACCGCGCAGCTGGCGAGCAGGGCTCACCGCTGCTTGTCAAGCCGTGTTCATCAGTCATTAAGTCACAAAACATTTTGGGGTGGGATTAACTCCTTCCCGCCTGTTCTTAACAATGCTTGCTGGTTTACTAATTTAGTTGGTGATAGTCTCTCTTCTCCTTTACTAACAGGGTGGATTGATGGGGCAATTTAAATTATCTTCCCCCACTCCTCCTGTGAGTTTGATGCGGATCTGATTTCCAAGTTGCCAAGAAAGCCAAGACTGACTCTGCTTAGAGTGAGCTTAATTTTGGAGCCAGTCCCATTGAAAACAAGTGTAGGATAGGATTTCTTTGGGAAAGCTGAATTACGCTGAAGTAAAATAGGGAATAGACATATGGCGGCATCATTATAGTCTGTGGCAATGATAATTCCAAAATAAGCGCCATGCGTCATGTAATATAAAATGAGAAAATGATAGTGGCAGCTAGTAACTCTAGATTTCTGTTGTTGCAGCTTTCTGTATTGTATACTTGGGTGATAGATTCTAAACCTAACTAATTAAACAAGCCATAAGGATTAGCTAAGCTAAACATTTTTTCTAGCAACATTCTGTTAAACACACTTGTACTAAATGGCATAGGAATCATGAGCAATGATGCATTGCAAAGTTGATCCATATTGTTCTTCAGACATATCCATATCATTTTCTCCCAATAAGCTGTATTCCTTATAATGATTCATTCTTGCAGCTGTGTCCTGCATCATCTTACACTTGATATGTTTTCCTTTTTTACCCAGAGAAAAAATTTCTTCAAAATATTCCCCGATAAAGGTCTTTTACACCCTGAAGCCATGACAGATTTTCTATGGTAGGGAAATATAGGAAGCTCTGTGTGTACTGAATAATGTCTTCCCTTTTTATTTCTAGTCCATTCCACTGTTCCCGTGCTGCCTCTATCCTTTCCTATATATTGTGTGTCTGTCTTTAAACAATATCTTAACTAACTCTGCCATGCTTGGCCCAGGTTCACTACCACATGAGCACAAAACAAAAAAAATCCTATCCACTCTTTGCACATGTTAGTCTTCTGAGACACAGAAATTGAAAGCCTAGAACTTTCAAGAAGCAAGAGCTGCTTGTTAGGCAGGACAGACTAGAGCCTTTTAATTCATTATTATGAGACTCGATGTGTATGTGTAGCATTTTTATGATAAAATGTAATTGTAACTTATTTTTAATGAGAAATTTAGTCCTGGTGATTTTTAAAAAATCAAATAGAAAAATCAATTATTTAAAAAACATTTTTAAAATCAGATTTTTATGCACCCTGATTACTAAGGACTTTGAGACCTACTGTATATTACTGATGACGATCACAACTTTATATTTTTATCACTCCTTTTTCTTCAAACAGTGTAAAGGAAAGACTTTGATCGTTTAGGGTCACAGGTTTCCTTTTACTTTATACTAGTTGCAGTTCTCAGCAATGACTGACTGACTGCTACTTAATTTTAGATGGGGTTCATTCACTTACAGAAGAACGTGTACTAAGGTACTTTCCTGTAAATGCAGCTCAGATAGTAAAATAACCCCAAAAGTAAAATTAACCCAAAAACTATGTCCTGAAGCAGTGTGCTTTCTTTTTTTTTTTTTTCTTGATTGATTGATTGCAAGGAAAACTTAGGCTGGATATGTCATTGTACCATCTGTTCATTTAACACTTATTTATGAGAAGCATGTTGTCACCCTTAGAAGTTATATGTAAGTGTAAAGGATTAAAGATAAAGGTGAACTGAGACTTTAAACCCTTTACTGTTATATAGAGTTAGAAGTGAATTTCTTAAACATCTATTTTAGTAGATTCCTGAATTGCAGTGCCTAATCATCTTTCTTACATTGGCTTAGTCTTACATTTGTATGACTTTGTATTCAGGCTTAGTGGTCACAGTATCAATGAATTAATAATTTTAGCATGGTACTGGAGCAAAGCAACTGATGATAGCAACTTTTTCAACACCAAATGAGTATCTTTAGTTTTTGATCATTTATATCCTAGAGACCATAAAATAACTCCTCCCTTGTAGATTATAAAATCATAAACTATAGAGAGTCACTTCTAGCTATTAAAGCTTACTATTTTTCTTAGGTTCTGCTGCTTAAGGGAATTCACTTAACTAACCTGTCAAGAATGGGCATGGCAATTTCAGCTGCTGAAAAAGTTTCTATCACTTTTTTTAAAGAACTTTCACTTGTTTCGGTCAAATAGCTTTACAGACTCTTGTTTCCAGCGAACTTTAGATAAATCTTACTGTGCTTCCATAAGAGAAGTTCAATTTCATAATGAGAGAAACTAAAGTTGGCTATAATCAACAGATCTGCACTCACTACATGTTAGAGAGATTAACTCCTCCAGACATTTGTGCTCTTGGTGGTTCTCTGCTGACAGAAGAAGGGACATTTCAGGTTGTTACACACAGGTAAGAACAAAATCTCATGTTAAATTGACCTGAAGCAGTAAAAGCAAGGAAACTTGCTGAGCTGAAACATGCTCTTATGGCCTGGTCTATACTACATCAGAAGGTTGAAGTAAGATATGCAACTATAGCTATGTAAATTACATAGCTGAAGTTGACATTTCTTTCATTGCATTTTTCCCGTCCACACAGGGAGGCTGATGGGAACAAACACTCCCATCGGCTTCCCTCACTCCTCATGAGGAGCAGGAGTAGTAGTGCCAACGGAGGCGCCCTTTGAGTTTGGATCAGGTGAGGCTATAATAGACCTGCTAAATTGAACCCCCAGAGATCTACTGCAATGGAATCTTATCTTCTGTGTAGTGTAGACATTCCCTATATGACCTCCGCTTTATAGTTTTAATAGGATGCCACAGTGAAGTTTATTGGACTGTATTGCCAGGCACAGTATATCTTGCCCTTATGTATATTTTTTATGATAATCTGCTTATATCTTAATGTGATATTTCCAAATTAGTGGATAGGTTTAATTTTAGGCATCAAGATTATGCATTACAGTCTGGACATAATCTGTACAGCTGTATCTAATTATTGTTTCCACAGGAGTTGGTTCCATAGTAATATGGTAGTGGTGTTGCTTACTGTCACCATTGAAATCCTGTTGTGTAGCTAGGCAGAATCAAGGAAACCCCACTGTCATTGTGGTACTAGTAGTATCCAAGTGATAGATGCCCAGGATTTATAGGGTTCTGCAGTGGTATAGAACAGAAAAGAATTGTTCTCTATAGATGGATAAACTGGCTTGGTGCAGAGTCTGTGTTAGGTGTTTGTACTAGTGAAACTAATTTAAGGATTTTCACACTGGTGGCACAGCTATCCCAGTGTGGACAAGCCCCCATATAAACTTAACAGTGTTGATTCTAAATGCAAAACCCTTCTCTGAGGCCTTTTTCAATTGAAATTTCCCCCACCCAACATGTAATTTTGGACTTGGAGAAGGAAGAAGACAAACACAGTAACTCTTGTGAAAGTTACCTTAATATGTGTAAACAAATAGTTACCTTAATATGTGTCAACACATCAGCCTTGAAGATCATGCAATACCTTTTTATTTAGTAGACGTAATGATTTAACTGTAGAGGCATTCTTATTTTTCTTGAAGGTTATGTTTAGAAACAAAAAAGAGGTTTTATGCACTAGATATGGGGCCTTCAGCTTTTTTCGTTTGCAGACCCCTAAAAATGGAAGTGTAGAGACCCCTTTTGGAAGTTTAACATAGTTTGCAGAGTCCATAGGCCAAAGGTGGAAAACCACTACTCTAGACGAGTGCCTAAGAAACAGATCCTATTCTCCAATACAAAGCGTAAAACAGATTTTTTTTCCCTTCTAGTATGTTTGAGGTTTCAGGAGCTTTTTAAGAGAAGGAAGCATTTCCGGTGTCAGTGTTGTAAAGGAGCATTCCACCAGGTGTAATAATACCTAGATAACCAGCCACTTGAGTAATTGGTGTATTCCAGTAGTTGCATAAGACAACGATTTATATCATGGTTAGCGAGACATACTGATTAACAATGAGGCTTCCTTGTTTTGACTTCTATTTGGATACATTTGTACAGGTTTACAGTTTACAACACTTTTCCAGAGCTGGTGTTTTCACTGTTGATGTTGACCAAGTGCACATATGGCTGTATCTCTCACTAATCTTAAGAGATGCATTAGGGGTTCTAAACTAACTCAAGTAGGAAAAGTATGAGGAGAAAGCATATATAGTAGATTCCTGTTTACTACTGGCAGAATGCCAAGAACACAAGACTCTTTTGATGAAAGTGGAATACAAGAATAAATTAACTGAACTGATTTTTAATAGGTTATTTTTGGTATTAAATACTTAAATTTATACTACAGGACCCTTTTCTCCTGAGAAACTGAATGATCTTTATAATACAAAGTGTTCTCTGGCACCACAATCTACTATGCTATAGTTCTGCTTCCTAGTTTTCGTATTTCTTCCAAATTCTTTTGGCGATTGGTTATTCCTCTTTCGTGCCAATAAGAATTGTTGGTGAGTAACATGAGGCACTTCCTTTTCTTCGTAGGATTAAGACTTCAAAGATCAATCTTATAAATTCCTTTCTAAAGGAACAAAGTATTGGGTTTAGATGACTCATCCTTTACAGGATTGTTTTAAGGCAGTCTTTAGACTGCTCTAGATTGAGCTTTGTCAAGTAGCTGCAACATCATGGTATGCTATAAGGAGGTTTAGTCTCCTTCCTGAGCTGTGTTGGGTGCACAAAAGGTTGCCTGGATTTAATCTGTAACTTTTGTGCTTCCCAAAGCATACTGCATTTTCAAAATTAATTTAAATGCTGAACCAAATAGTGATTTTAAATTGGTTTTATATAAAATACTTGTGTAACTGTAACTTTATCAGCAAACAAAATATCTCCATGAACAATTTAAATATAAGATAGTAAGTGTGTTATCAGGTTCGATCTCAGGGACAGATTGTGCTGAATTCCACTGATTATGTCAATAAGATTACATATAAAATGAATACAATAATGTATGGTTTTCAAAATATGTAGTTTTTTTCTCTTTTTAGATACTTTCCCACTCTTTCATCAACATGGAAAGCTCGGATTCTAATGATAAAGGAACTATTGATCACTCAGAAGCGCAGCGCCGAAGTCAGTTGGATCGATTAGAACGTGAAGAAGCTTTCTATCACTTTGTAAATAACCTGAATGAAGAGGACTATAGGCTTATGAGGGATAACAATTTGCTAGGAACACCAGGTACATGACAACATGTAGGTAGCTAAATTTCCTCTAAGCTGCGCAGCCGCAGAGCTGCCTATTAATTGACATGCAGATGCTCTGGGCTGTGGCAAGGAAAGATGCCTCTCCCGAAGCCTTGGATCTGTCATGATGCCCTGAACCTGCCATAGCCATGGAAAGCCTCCCCTCCCTGGGCTCAGTGCTGCTATGGAAAGGCACCTCTCATCTGGCTCTGAGCTACTATGTGGGGTCCTCTCTGCCAGAGCCCTGGAGCAGTCTATCCTGAACCCTCAACCCTAGTACCACCTCCGAATTTGCACCTCCAGCCAGAGTCCTCACCCCATGCCCCAATCTTCTGTTCCAGCCCTAAGGAGTCTTCCACACTCCAAGCCCTTCAGCCCCTCCCCCACCACATGAATTTTGTTATGTGAACCAGTGTGGAAATGATTTCTCTCATATTACCTCCGTAACAAAATTCATGTCACATATGGACGTAAAAAAGGAGTGGAAACACTGGTAGATAGCATAAAACTTTAATTTATGAATGTGAATGTCTCTCTGCCTATTTTCAGACTGCCGAGTTCCTCTCATAGTCATGGTGCTGAGTGTGTCTTCAGCATTTATTATGCTTTTGCCACAGTTGTAAGCCATTGTACAGAGTAGCTCTTTTGCTTAGCTGAACACAGAGTAGATCATTCCTTGAAGGTAGTATGAGTAGTTTAGCGTTTATTAGGCTAAGCTAGATGTGCTAACTCAAGTTTAAGGAAATGTAAGTGTTAATTGGAATTTGCAAAGTCTGCTCTAATGAGGGCTGACTTGCTGTCTTGCCAAGTATCTGACTCTCACTTGGGCCATTTCTACATAAGAATGTTGTACAGGTTTAACTAAAGGTATACTTTTAAAAATCAATTTAGTTAAACCTGTTTGAACATTTGTGAACATTCTTATTTCAGTATATGAGTGGCTTATTTTGGTTTAGTTAAAAGTGATTCCTAATAGATATATGCTAAACTGAAACTTTTTAATCTGGAGTGTATCCACTGAGGTGTTTGCAGAGGTTTAAATAAATCAGTTTAAAATAACACTTTAGATAACCAGAGCAACCAGTTACAAGACCCAGCAAGCATTTCATCGTATTCTGAGCAGATCGTAACTCTGTTAGGAGCTGGAGCCTCAACAAGTCTTATCTAAGGGCAATAGAGTTGGTGGGCTGTGAGGTGTCCTTTGACTACACCTGACTTACAGGTATCTCAGTGTGTCAGAATTTCAACAAAGAACACTTAGAAATGGTCAGTATCTTGTTAGTACAGTATTTGCAGTTTAAAAAGAATGTAGGTTTAAGAACCATTAGGTTATGGATTGTTCTTGCCTTCACATATCTGCTTTGAAAATAGTTTTGGAAATCTTTGCTTGCTTCCTAAGGTGAAATTACTGAAGAAGAATTGATGAGAAGGCTACATCAAGTTAAAGAAGGACCACCACAGCAAAACGGTGATGAGAATAGAGGTATATACTGTGTTTGTGGATGCTCTTAACTTTAGCAACTTGTATAGATCTTAACTTGAATGCAGTAATTGATCAAGTTTAAGTCTAGGCAGGTGCAAGATGAGCTGTATTTGAGAGTTAAGATTTATCTGGTATGTGCCAGAGGTCAAAGTTTTGAAGAGATTTCAATTTGAACACATCACTGCTTGATTGTGCTGCACTCAGATCACTTCTGCATTTCTCTTTGTTCATTTTTTTCTCCATTCTCTTCCCCTTTAAGGTTGTTCCCTCACATTTTCTCATCTTTTTCCCTTTTCCTCTCAAGATTGCCACATTGCCTCCCTTACATAGAAGGTTTACACACAGGTCCCACTGAATCCTGTCATTGTTCATTGTTTTTTAAATGATTTTACTAGACTAGAGAGCCAGGAACTCCAGGCCACTAAGGCTATGTCTACATTAGCACCTATGTCTGTTAAACAGTTATTGGTCAGAGTTCAAAAAAGGTCCCTTAGCCATGTAAGTTTTTTGCTTGCTCATGGTATTGGTGGGCATCTCCCACTGACATCACTACCCCTTCTCATTTAGCTGATTTTATTAAGTCACCAGGAGAGCTCACTCCTGTTGGCATAACATAACTTATATGAGTGCTCTTACAGCAGCCCAGCTGAGTAGGTACAGCTGTGCCTCTGTAAGTTGTAAGTGTAGACACGTTTGTGATTTAACCGCTGGTATGCAAGACTATTGAACTGAGCTAGTCAAACATCTAGGCTGTGTCTACATTGGTGCGATCTTGCGCAAAAGCACCCACTTTTGCACCAAAACTTGCTGCCTGTCTACACTGGCCATGAGTTCTTGCGCAAGAACACTGACGTTCTAATATATGAAATCAGTGCTTCTTGCACAAGAACTATGATGCTCCTGCTCAGGAATAAGCCCTCTTGTGCAACTGTTCTTGCGCAAGAGGCCAGTGTAGACAGGCAACATGAATTTCTTGCGCAAGAAAGCTCAATGGTTAAAATGGCCATCAGAGCTTTCTTGCGCAAGAGAGCGTCTACACTGGCAAGGATGCTCTTGCGCAGAAGCACATTTCTTGCGCAAAGGCACATGCCAGTGTAGACGCTCTCTTCTGGAAGCGTTTTTGCACAAGAACTCTTCCGCAAAAGAGTTCTTGTGCAAAATCATGCCAGTGTAGACGTAGCGCATATCCAATGTGGGGATTGGGGTTTTTGGGGTTTTTTTTTTTTATAATTCTATTTTAACTGACTTTCCATTTAGTTGTTACAAGAAATAACTTTAAAAGGTTTAGAGGGGTAGCCAAGCTAGTCTATACAGGATAAACTTAAAAAACAACAAATAGTCTGGTAGCACTTTAAAGATTAAAAAGAACGCGTAAATGATATCATGAGCTTTTGTGGGCACAGGCCACTTCTTCAGATGACTGGAGTGTTGTGTGTCCAGAACCAAAAATAAATGGGGAAGGGGTGGGAGGGAAAAAATAGAAGGGGGGAGGAGAGAGGCAATGGATATATAAATATCAAAGGGAAAGCTGAGCTAGTATGTAACAGGTAAAATTGATGGTCTGTAAGCATGTGAAGACTGGATATTTAAAAGAAGCAGATAAGAACCATTAGTTAGCAATTAGAGAGGAAGAGTACTAACACCAGATTCTACACAGACAACCATTGGCACCTTAATTGTTAGGTTGGTTGTTAATGTCCCAGCTATGTTACTAGAATGGGAATTAAACTTGTGAATGAAATTCATAAGTTTAATTCGCATTCCAGTAGTGTGAATCGAGATACCGGATGGCTGGGACATTATCAACCAAACAAACAACTAAGGTGCCAATGGTTCTTTGTCTGTGTAGAATCTGGTGTTAGTACTCTTCCTCTCTAATTGCTAACTAATGGTTCTTATCTGCTTCTTTTAAATATCCAGTCTTCACGAGCTTATAGAAATAACTTTAGCTTGTTTTGTTTGTTGTTTGGCTGCAATTTCTGAAGAAGCAGAATTATTGGTAGGTTAGAAAAATATCCACTCCTCCTCCCTCAGAGAAAAAGCTTCTATAGGTATAACTCTTATCAAGTTGTTCAGAATGAAAACATTATGGTGTTTAAGAGGCTTAAATATTTTAAAATTGTAACTTGCTTAATTAAGGAGTTGTATTGTTGGAAAATTTAATCCCAAAATTACCTCAATTCTCTAATTTTGGTAGTTCCCTTTTCTTTTGACAGGTGCAGAAGCCACAGAAGATGTTTCTAATAGAGATTCCATAATAGACTGGCTTAATTCAGTACGACAGACTGGAAATACCACACGGAGCGGGCAAAGAGGAAACCAGTCTTGGAGGGCAGTGAGCCGGACTAACCCTAACAGTGGTGATTTCAGATTCAGTTTGGAAATAAATGTCAACCGAAATAATGGGAACCCAAATCCAGAAGCTGAAAATGAGCCACCTGTAGAGCCCTCCAATGGTGAGGATTTGGAAAATAGCCAAAGTGACACTGAAACTCCAAGGTCTGAATCACCATCTGTAAGACAGCCTGGATCAGACAGAAGTACCTCTGAGGAGTTAGTAACGGAGGAAGAGTCTCCTCTCAGAGGCCAGAGAAGAGCAAGAAGCAGGAGCCCAGAACAACGAAGAACCCGGGCTAGGACTGATAGAAGTAGGTCACCTATTAATCCAGCAAGTGAGACTCCTCGCAGGTCTCCTAACAATATGCCATCTCAGACACTTGATCATTCCCTGGTAAATGAATCTGAGGGAAGTTCTAGAACTAGACAGCATGTGACATTAAGGCAACATATGACGACAACAGAGATGGCAAGTGAAAATGCAGTTCTGTTTTCAACCCCAGAAACAAGACCAGCTCCTCCCGCATTAGGTTCTCCAGAAACAAATGGCAGCAGTGAATCTGCAGCTCCTGGACAGAGGCCACCTACTATAGTTCTTGATCTTCAAGTGCGAAGAGTCCGTCCAGGAGAATATCGGCAGAGAGACAGCATAGCCAACCGAACCCGATCCAGGTCCCAGACACCAAACAATACAGTCACTTATGAAAGTGAACGTGGAGGGCTTAGGCGCACATTTTCACGTTCAGAACGAGCTGGAGTGAGAACTTATGTCAGTACCATTAGGATTCCTATTCGTAGAATCATAAACACGGGTTTTAATGAGACCACATCGGTTGCAATTCAGACCATTTTAAGGCAGATAATGACAGGTTTTGGAGAGTTAAACTACTATATGTACAGTGATGGTGATACAGATCCTAGTGGCCCAGTCCCAAGTCAAAATGTAGATGCTCCTGAGGTACAGAGTGGAGGTGATAGTGGTAGTACTAGTTCACGCAGTGAAAATACTGAAGGTAGCTCAGGAGAGGTATATGAAAGTAGTAATGAAGGAGGTTCAGCATCTGCTAGGCGAGAAGGGCGGAATGCTAGAGGATCAGTCACTTTTGAAGAAAGTGGCTCTTTACCATTCCTTAGTCTAGCACAGTTTTTTCTACTAAATGAGGATGATGATGACCAGCCAAGAGGACTCACCAAAGAACAAATTGACAACTTAGCATGGAGGAATTTTGGTGAAAGCGATGCTCTGAAAACCTGTAGTGTCTGTATTACAGAATACACAGAAGGCAACAAGCTTCGTAAACTGCCTTGTTCCCATGAATACCATGTCCACTGCATTGATCGCTGGTTATCAGAAAATTCCACTTGTCCTATTTGTCGTAGAGCAGTTTTAGCGTCTGGTAACAGAGAAAGTGTTGTCTAAACGAGATCTGAATTTGTGGCTGAACAGCTGGTGTAATAGTGATGGGCAACAAAGTCACTTTCATTATGGCCACTTTTTGAGTGGTGCTTCAATGTATAGTAATGAGTTTGACTGCTTCTTGCCTCCATGAAAACATTTTCTCAGATTTTAAAATGGGAATATCTTTAAACTAGCGTCTTCAAATTTATTCAGTTTCAGAGTCTGGAATTTAAAACTATTTTGTTTCCCCAAAGATATCTGTTATAAATTTCTAATTTCTTCATCCACAAGACTGCTAAGCTCCTTGCCCATCCTCTCTTCTTCCCAATGCATTGTTAATCTTGAAGACCTCAGCGCTCAGATCATCCCTATAAGGAACTTATTGGAGAAGTCATTCAAGCTACAGCAGATGTTTCATAGTGGATTTTTAAAAGCCTAGCTATCCCACTGAATATGAAATTAATTCAACTGCACCCTTAAATATAATTTTAGTTAATTTTTATATTGGGTATTTTTGGACACAAGTGCAAATAACACTAATGTTAGCCCTTTTCCCATTGTACACCTGTCTCCAGCCCATCACTATGGCACGCTGTGGAGTGAACTGATACCTTAATCAGGATATTTATCTTGTGGAAATATAAAAATTGCCTATGCTTGTTTAAATAAAAAAATCACAAGTTTTGTTTTACAATTGTAAAGCTTTTTTGTAGAAACGCAGTACTTTTCCAGTGCACTGTTGTACTAATGCATTAAGAATTAAAATTGTACCATGCTTAGAAATGAAGAGAATGCTTTTCATACGAGACCCACCACACAGTAAACTAAATACAACTGAGCTGCTTTTGTAAATGTTATTGTCAAGAGCAGTGCATATCTGTACTATTTAATTTATGTGAATAGCTACTGTAACAAGAATTAGACATCTTAATTGCATTAAAACTGATGGAAATTGAATGTTATAATTGCAATGTCTTGGCTCAGTAATGCCACCAAAAAGATGATAAAAAAAAAGAAACCTGCTCTGAAGACTGGTTTTTTTCCTTTGTATGGTTACTGCTGTGTAATGATACAAACTTTCACATGTACCAGTTTCATTTGGTGAGGATTTTGCCCACACTTTGTATTAAACTGTATTTTAATCACTGAGGAAGCTGTATGTAAATTTCAGCAGTCAGATGTTAGCAAATTAATTTTTCTTCTCCCACCAAAGTGGCACAGTGGTCTCTGTAACATTTAGTGATCTAACACACTGGCCTCCTAAATCAATGGCAGTTACACGTGACCCATGGTAAAGAAATTAACATTTAGATGTAACCAAGAATAATCTTTTAACAGTTTCTCAAATAAGTTGTCCATCTTAAATTATTGGTTATTGGAACATATTTAAAAAATGAAATTTCAAGTTGGTTGAATTTGCAACTTATTTTCCTTCAAGTAAAATGTTAGGCATGTCTCTTTACTGTTAAAACTATCAGTTGCATTTTGAATTAAGTTAGTATGGACGTATCAATATTCAAATCTTTTAAATGCATTTATATAATTTTAAATCTGCTTTGGAAATGTTCGTACATCAGCTATCTTCACATTTGTGGGAAACCTCCTCTTCCCCTTCTCCAATTCCCAAAAGAACTTCCTTGTATCTACTCTTTAGTAGCTTTGCCTGTGCTACAAGTTTTATCAAGGAAAGCAAAGTTCTATTTCAAGTAAAAAACGTAGTAGTAGTTAACTAGGGATATGAACTGCTCTTGCTGGCTAAGTCAAAATGTTGCTTGATACTCAAATGACAAAACCAAACCTGACCTATGTTTTTTTACATTGACATCTCCAGTGCTTGAGTAGTGGTTACATAGAACATCATCTTAGCTGTTAAGCCATTCTAATTGAACTATCATCCAGTTAATTGCTGGAACCTTTTCTTTTTCTAACAGTGCATTTTCCTGTCAGTCTCAGGTCAGTGGAGAATCCTGACTGGCTGGCAAGTTCATTTTCCTCCTGGTGGAACACTCCATCACTGGAGGAGTATTCCTTACCATATATTTTTAAAGCAAAAGCATTTATAAACAAATATATGCTCTCATATGTACTCTGAGATGTGTTCATCTATAAAATTGGAGGTTAGAGATTAATGTTATTTCTTGGACTTTGATTCATGAATGTAGATAATGAATCTTAAGCCAACTCGACTTCTCAAGCATTGGACACGATGATTTTGAATCTTTTCTGTAGTGTGCACATAAGTGTATGCAATTGCTCACATTTTTCAGTAATACTCTTTGCTGACTTGGACTGCAGAATTAAAATAAATATTTTATAGTGGTATTTGCTACTGATTTCTAAATACACTTTTAGCTTTTTAAAAATAGGTTGTCTTATGAGGACTAAGGACAGTAATGCGAATAGTATGAACCCATTAGCAACAAGTGCTACACAGTGGAGCAAGGCTGTATTACCTCATTGAGCAGTTATTCTTTTGCTAATTTAAATTATAGTTCTTGGAAACCAAGAACAATACAGTTCTTTGTAGTTTTATTATGATTGCCTTAATTGTAACAACAGTTAACGTGTCCGAGGTTTCCAGAAAGTACCAGAAACCAGTATTTCACCTCAATTTAGAATGAACCCTTTGAATGTTTTAATTATAATGAAATTTATTTCAAAACATACACCAGTAGCACTAGTTTCCTTTTTTTTTTACTTCAAACAGTTGACAAGATTAATATAGCTGTGAGGGCACGGCTAGACTGTGGGGTTTTTCGGGATACCAGAGAGATCCTGAAAAAACTCTGCTGTGTCCAGGGAACGCCTTTGCTCTTTTGCAGAAGAGCAAATGCACACTTTTGGAAGCCCCTATATTCCTCATTCTACGAGGATGAAGGGGACTTTTGAAAGAGGGTTTTTTCTGAAATTTGGCCCAGTCTGGACAGAAAAAGCCTCTTCCGACAAAATCGGAAAAAGGTATGCAAAATGCGGAGCATATTATGCGTATCTTTTTCTGATAGCTCCTTGCAGTCTAATCATACCTTTAGTGAGGCACTCTTAAGTAGATAAGGCATTTACCAACACAACAGTCCTAGAAATGAGCAATGGTATAATTGTGCCCTGTGCTACATCCAGTAACTCAATGGAGTTTATAAATTACTTTTGTATTTTGTGCAAAACAAATTTGTGGAAAACTATTGGCCTCATCCAGGAGCAGGAATTCTTATCTGAATAAGGTTGCTGGATCAGGCCCAGGTATTATAAGGAAATATAGTTCATTCCTATATAGTACAAGAAATTTGTGGTTGTCATTCTTTCCTTTAAAGTTATAGTAAGCTTTAGAAGCCAATATTAATTCTTCAATTTTTAATTAAATTGCAAGCTTTATAGGTATAGAAGTGTCTCTAGTGAGGTGCTCAGAATTTGCTGAAGTTAATCTCTCGAGTCAATTTATTTGAAAGTATATGAATCCTTTTGGTGCCAAGCATTCTTAATGTATTTGCATCTCTAGCTTTCGTAAGCTTAAACCTATTTCTTTCAGCATTGGAATTGTAGATGGATGTGCACTGTTTTTATCGCCACTTTACTGGATGCCTCTGGCCATTGAGAGGGTTAAAATACAGCTGTTATCTTTTTTGTGGGGGAGGGGTTATGCCAATGTCTACATAGATTCATACATTTAAAAGATTCTGGTAGCCTTGTGATACATTTGCTGCTCTCCTTAATTTACAGTGCCATCTTGTGGAAGTTTCTCTTACCCTTTTTCTGAGTTGGGGCAAATACACATCTTTGCCTCCATTATTCATTTAAACATTAATTTCTTTGCTGTTTAAGCTTTTGTGTTTGAAGGAGCTACCCTGCTAGAGCTTGTATAAAGCAAGCTGATATTAAAAACACACACAACTGCACACTGTGGACAGCTATCCTTCTGCTGGTTGGGATTACCTCCAAGGTATTTCCTGTGAACAAATCCCAAATGTGTGCATACTAAAATACTCCAGGTTAAAACATAGAAGAGTACACAATCTTTTGAAGAGTGCAGTATATAGTTCTAATCACTTGCAAATTTGTAGACATTTTTAATGGGTTTTATCCATTAAGTGAAAGAATGGTGAAACATAGTGACTGGTTTTTATTGGGTTTCTTCTTTTTCTTGCACTTTTGTAAAATAAACAGCTTTTTGCAAATAGTATTTTGCAGGCAGTTAATTCATTTATGATAACTGATCCTTGTTTGGAAAATAGTGTTTGACATAGGGTAGTTGCTGCACTGCATGCATATAGAAACTACTCAAAGTTTCTTAAGGACTTTCTGTAGGAAGTATTAGTTGCATGCATAGCAGCTGCACTGACATATTGTACAAATTTTGAAGATGCCATGATTGGCCATTGTGCCAACTTGCAGATTGATTGTATCCATTAATGTTGACACAATGGGCGATAATGGCTATCAGCTATCCATGGATTATGCAAATATGTCGTGTCCAAAGGACCATTTCACTAATATAATTTCAGCAAGAAATGTATTTTACAATGTTTGCCAACACTTTGAGGTAATTCACTTTGTGATGCATTATAGTAACTAGGGTCTAATTTTAAGGTGAGGAAAAGAGCTTTCATTAAAGCTGACCATTGGTTTCCATTTTCTACCAGCGTGCCTAGGTAGTCCATAGGTCTTCCAACAGTGTGTGTGCTTAATCAGCACCTATATTGCAATATCACGGTTCAGCTGGCTGGGCTTAGCTGTTTAGCTGCAGCCTTAACTTTTATTTGCATTTTTAGTTTGAGACCCTTAATATAATTGTGATGTATTCTGTGTAAATATCTGGTGTTTCCATTCATTGTCAGTATGACTTGCTTGATTTAGGGTTACGTAATCAGAATTTTGAGTTGATTAGGTTCACAGTTCTCATGGAAATGCCTGTGCCAGATTATCTGGCTTCTCCCTGGAAGCGTTAACTTGGAGCCATGATAAGAGAATTGAGCAACATATTTTGAAATATTTCAAATTTTCACCTACAAGAAATCTTTTTATGGTTGGGTTGGGTTGGTGAGGGGAAGGAAACAGAAGCAAATCTAATGGTAATGTAATTTACTTAAAGCACATTAAATTATGTTGTGTAAAAACTAGTTTCAATCTGTTATACCAGGGCTTCCCAACCTCTTTTGTACCAAGATTTTCCTTTTTCTTGTAGGCGAATCCATTATTGAACCGTATCTGGGTTCAATATGTGGTTTTCGTCATTTAAATTAAAATCTGAAGAGTCCTTCCCGAGTCCCTATATCTGTTAGGCTATTGGATGGGAAGCCCTGTATTAAGCTGAGAATGTAACAATTTTCCTTTTTGTACAGTGCTTTAAATTGTTTATATTGGACTTTAGTACAAAATGGTACTCTTAAAGGTCATAAAACAGTTTGATCATATTTGATAGCTAACATTTAGGAGGAGTTTGTTTCCTATGTAAGATGTCATAATGCAAATTTAAATAGACTCAATAAAATGCATGAAGTGATTATTTTTGTTCTTTATCATCTCTCCTTGGGGGAGGGGGGACATTCATTCTGTAGTGGGAAAGTAATTGAAGCTATCGAGGTTAACAGCTCATGATAAATGTGATAGGAATCCATTTTTTCCTCATTTCCTGTTGTTTGAAGTGAGAGACCAGGAGAGGTATTGAAACAACCTCTGGCTTTTTGTCAAAAGAATTTCTCTTTGTATGCTAAACTGAAGGAATAAATCTCACTATATACTAGAGTTAGTAGCTGTGATTTATGGGTGTCATTTAGTAATTGAAATCAGTGACCTGGCCTCAGCAATGAAAAACAAACTAGAGACATGCCATAAAAACACTGATAAGATTTTGTTTGCATAAATTCATGTATGGCCAGAGGCTTCCTTTTAAAATTAATCTCTGACCTGACATGAATGAGAAGGAATCTAAATACCTTTTGGAGGATGTGAGAAACTTAACACTTCACCATGCATGTTCTATGAGTATGAAGCAACAACCAATCCTTGACACAAGGGATGATCTCTGAA